TACAACTATGATTTATATGATATAGTAGAAAATGTCTTTTATTGATTAATAAACATTATTACAAAAAGTCAATTCCACAATAATTGATTGGCTCTAAGGCACCTATTCCAACAATATGTTGGATATCTTTTTCATCCTCAAAAGCTTTCTCGTAACTAGATATATTTTACTAAACAAATCATCGTTATGAGACTGTTGAGTGAACCACCAAAGTAATCAATGATATAATGTCACAATGAGGGGGAGCATTTATCTAGGGAGTATATCTTTGAAGATTTTTAAACACGTGCAATGTACTCTTTTTCCTTTGATTGGGTTTTATCCCACTAGATTTTATTGACAAGATTTTAATTAGGCGATTTAAGCATGTCAAACATCACTTTATAGTTCATTATATATTGTGTTCCTTTGCTTAGATTTTTATCCCTCTATTTTTCCTTAGCAAGGTACAATGCAATTATCTATAAGTGATAGAAATCCAAATAAGAATGTTATGGAATATGTCTTTTCACCATTTATGCTACTTGGCATAAGATTATTATTCCATCTATTTCACTTTGCTCACAACCCTTTGACACATGGATAAAGTATTTGCAAGTCGCAAAGCAAAAGATGACACATTTTTATGAGATGTAAAGTACATGATATGATGACTTGGGTGTTCTAGAATTCTATAAATAACACTACCTACTTGGATGGACAAGCCGAAGTGATCAAAATTGAGAGGAAATGTATCCTTCATATTATTCCTTCATTTGTTAAATCGTTCTTCCATTATATTATTACAATTTCACCCCTTTTTTGAATTTCTCTTTAATTTTAGGGGAAACGACTTACACATACCCAAAGTTTACTGTAAAGATAAAGTGGTACCCAAAAGGTTTAGAAATGACAAATACTCACTTTCCGTCATGTTCTGTTAGGCATTTCCATCTACTAAAAGACAAAAATGATGAAAAGACTGGAATACCCACCGATCTCCATTCCCAACGCGTGCCAGCAAGGGCAGTACCACTGTTTATCACCGAACTTCGCAGAAAAATGCTAAATCCGGTAAAAAAATCGATCGATGACGTAAGAGGGTTGTGCAAATGGGCTTGGGGTGAGAATGGAATTACTATACTGTCTTTTAGCAGATAGAAATCCCTAACAGAATATGACAGAAAGTATTTGTTTGTCATTTTCAAACCTTTTGGGTATCAATCGTCTTTATGCCAAACTTTGGGTAGGTGGAAGTCGTTCGGCCTTTATTTTATTTGTTTTACAACAATATTTGTCTCACGAGGTTTTTAAAAAATACAGAGGGTTTTTTTAATAGTTTCCAAAACTTTGGTTGTGTTATAATTAAAGAATTCTACAAAGGGTGTATGAAATAAGTGATAAATTGTGTACAGTATTTTCATAATCTAAATTTTATAATTTAAATATTATGGATAACTTTTTTTCTTTTTTTGGTAATAGAGACAAAGAAATTTTTTATTATAATAATATAAATTAATACAATTAGTTTCATAATAAAGCTCAATGTTCCTACTAATTAATTCTGCTTGATTTTTATTTGATAAATATAAATTTTAAGATCATAATTTTATCAATAATACTATACTTACAAAGAAATCTTACAAAGATTTTCATACAAAGTAAGGTGGCAAAAAATGAATGAAAAAGTGAAACAAAAAGTCAAACTTATTAAATTCATTCTTTCATTTATTTTTTGCCACATCACTTTATATGAAGATATTTGTAAGATTTCTAAGTGTAGTATTACACTTTATCTAATTTTATACCCTTGATAAAATACAAATGTGGCATTTTAACTGAGATCTGAAACTCGAATAGTACTACTCTATTTTACGAGTGATATGATGCTAAAAAAAAAAAAAAAAATCTCATTACCAAACAATGTTGGCTCTATCTCTAGTACGGAATGAGAGTAAATTTGTAATAAACAAAAAACTTATTAACATATGTTACTAATTATCTTTTATTAAAAATGTTAATTTTATTATAGTGCTGGGCAGCTTTACCCTCCTCCTCCCAACTAGATCATTGAATCTTTCTAATGCTTCAAAATTGGACTAATCGCTAGGTACATAAGTACTCAAAGTAACATAACATTTTTTTTTGGTTTAATATTACCCATTTCTTATAGGAAAAGATTGGAAAAAAAAAAAAAAAAAAAAGAAGAAAAGAATCCAGCAATAACCAAAGAGAATATTAAGATTAGACAAAGTGGTATCATTAATTTAAAATGAATGACAATTTCCCACCAAGGTTTGCTGTATTTACATTTTCCCACCCATAAACTTTAAGAAAAACAATTTCCCACCCATTGTCAATCTCCATCAATGTTTGAATATGGAAATATAGGGTCTATATAAGACTTCTAATATATTAATTAATTTTTGAATTGGTCAACCAGCTGCAAAGCTTTAATGGTTAATGTGCCTCGATCAAGAGTCTTGTAGATATGATATGTATTTATGATAATTACTTGAGTGTGTTGAAGTAGAAAGTAGACAACGTAAATACTATTTAACTTTGTTGCAAATTTCTGAAATTGCATCCATTAAAATATTATATTAACAATATTAAAATTAATTACTTGATGATATAAATAAATGCTTGGAATCAAACATCATGCGCCTTGAATAAAATAAAAGTCGAAACCATATGAAGACAGCTAAGCTTGCTTGTCAAGACAAATAGTCTGGCCCTTTGCATTGATGATTTACTTAATTAATAACATAAATGCTAGATTACATCAATTAAGATGTGATTTGGCCGGGCTCTGAAATTTGCTTGTTTTGATGTTTAAGAAGACAAAATTAAACAACTTATCAAATCACATATAAATTAAAATAACCCAACCTGGAAATTTACATCTCTTTAATTATCAAACACTGACATTTAAATTATTGTCTTACACTTATGGACGCAGTGGAGTTTTAATCTGGCTAATTGCCTAATTCTCTCATTTCCATTTCCTTTTTCCTAGAGCTATTTTCTATCAAGTGAAAGAAGTACTACACACCATTAATGGTAGAAATTGACATGAACTGGCGTTTAATTTCTTAACCAAACTTGTCGCATTTAAAACACATGAACAGCACAGTGGAATTAATAGCATTCCATACATATATTTATATAATTAGATGGGGAATTAATTGGTTAATTAGGGTGACAGCAAAGAAACAAAGAGAAAATTAAATCCGATTGGTCCTGGGCCAAGATGATATCTAGTCACATGCTACTAAACCATAAAAAGGGGCAAATACACTATTCATCTAGTGTTCCACATGCTCAACTGTCCTTATAAAACATCATCATGGAGGGGCAGGTCACCAAAATTGTTGGATTATTTATTACTTATTATATTTCTGCCGAACTTTCCACCATTCAATTTCTGCTCAGTTGAACTATAAGAATGTAGCTTATAGTTTTCTTCCAGGGACATTTTTATTTAAAAAAAAAAAAGTTGCTTCCCCTCAGAGTTCTGGTAAGTACTTCTAAATAAAATAAAATATCTGAAAACCTTGTGTCCATAATAATAATAATAAAATATATTGGTCTTTAGTCAAGCCATCCTTAATTGTCTCTAGAGAAGAAATTAAATTAATTCATGCGTTAAAACAATCTGGATCTTTGCTTAACCAATCTAATATTATGAAATTAAGAAGGGAAAATGAAAATATGTCAGATTATTGAAGATATAAAGAACTACTGTACTTTGCACTTGGTGATCAGATTATTTACATCAATCTGCTGTCTTTAAATATGATTTCTGTTTTGTTATTCTTTGTTCTTTTCTAACAAGCTCCAGTCCACTGACCACCCCAAAGAGAGGAAGGGCCATCAACAATATTATAATTTAATTCTGACCTTTAAATTAATTATTGTTATTATTATCATTTAAAAAAAAAAAAAAGAAGTTTCTGAAATATTACATGGTGATAAGATGATTGGAAATGTGGGCCTTTCAAATATATAAAATTCCAAAAACTAAATCATTGTAACAAGGATAAACTACCCCAAAACAATTATAAACTGTCCAAGCAAAATAATTTATACTCAAAGCACAGAGGAGATAAAATATTCGTACTTCATCCCCACCTGTTTGGTTGTCAAGAAATTAAACCCAAAGAGCTCTCTCTCTATATATAACTAGTCTCTAAATAATATAATGAAGATGATGAGGAACTATATATTATATAAGATAAGACAGAACAAATTTCCTTTAGAAAATTGTAAATTTTTTTGGTTAGAGTCAATTACTCTTTTCCTCTTTCTCCTGGTATCAATTTTTCTGTCCTACTTTATTGCACAATCATCTATGAACTATGGTATTATCATCAAATTGACTTAAAACAAATCTGAACCAAAATAGACAGCTCATGCAGTCATGCTTTAGATGAAAGAAAACTATTAACATTAACCTGCACGAGAGCATCTCTAGGTATTCTAAATAAGCTTCTTCTTGCCCAAATTCATTGGCTCATCCCATTATAAAATTCAGATTGCTCACTCTGCAAGTTTTACATAGCTGGCAACAAGCTTAAGATCTTCATCTTTTCCTTTTCAATTCCTCGAGCAACTCACTCTATACTAGACTAATTGAATTCACCTATTTAATAATTGCATAAACCTTTATCTCATCTTCCTTCCCTAGTATGCTGAAGAGAAAAGAAAGAGTACTGGACAAAAGAAAAATGAACAGGCTACAGAATTAATAATCCTTTTTTTTTTTTTCCTGATTTGAAGAACACAACAATTGAAGTTTGATATATCTTAAACACCTTAACCACAAATTCATCAAGCACACAAACATGCACGGTGTACTTGAAATCTAATTCTGTTTCTCTCCTTTTTTCTTACAATCATAGTCAAGTCTGTTGATGATAATAAGAATTAATACAAGATCAACACAACAATCTTCTAGAGCAATAACAACAATCAATCAGTTAATTCATATATAACACCTCGTTTTCTAATTATATATGTTTTTTTTTTTTTTTTTAACTAGAATTGGGTGGAGTATACTCACAAACTACCTCAGTTTCCACTTCCCTTCTGTGGAAATTCCTGTGGCAACCGCAAGCGGCGCATGTGAGCGCGCTTGTTCCTTCTTCACCACTCGCCATGAATTCTCTGCAGCCATCCACGGCGTATCCTCCGATATTTGCCGCGTGATTCTTTTGGCACTCGCCGTATCGGACGCATCTGACCATTGAAGAAGAAGTACTAGAAGTTCTCCCGGATGCATCTCTTTTAACCACCACTTGACGCTTCTTCATCATCTGGAAAAACCCTAATTCTTGAGCTGATTATTGAAGGAAACTGATGGTGGGGATTTTCAAGATCAGTTTTTTCATCAAAACCCAGAAAAGAAAGCCAAAACTTTGTGAGAATTAAGCTATATAGAAAGAAAAAAAGATACCTTTAAGTGGGTTGATGTCTAACCCTAACCCTAGCGTATGTATTTATAAGGCTTAGTAGGAGGATATACAAAGGAGCCATCAGCAATCTTATGTTACCATTATTTTATTGTCCTTTGGTTTAGTAAGAAAGAAAAGATCACTTGCCAAAAAAAATAGGAAAGAAAAGATCCACCGCGGGCTATTCATTCTGTCAACCAATCACAACAAGCCACGTCAGTATCAGATTATACAGACACAGAAATATACATATGAGATTATAAGTCAATAGATCGATCAGACATTAATTAATTTTTTTGGTTATTTTAATTAATATTTGGGGAGTATATTTAAAGCAATGTCATTCACACTGTACTGTGATCAATAACATGACAAGATTACAATGGAGCTATATAGAGAAAATCTTTGTCCTTGCATAAAACCACAAAAACCCTAGCTAGAATATGATCTTTAGAATTGATATTTCAACTGCCATTAAAGATATTATAGGTAAATGTTTGCAAAATTTGGTTTAATCGATAATACTTTTATGGCCCAGAACACAGAGATTAATTATAAAGGGAAGAAAGAGTAATGGAAACTGGTTTGTTATTATTTATTTCCGTGGGTCCAAAGTGACACTTAAAAGGAAGGTGGCCATGGCCCTGTAGAACTGTGACAACAACTCCTGTCTAATTACCTCAGATTCTAATAATTTGGAGCATTAATGCCCACCATGTATGAATATGAACCAACTTCTTCTCCTTGCATCTAATCAAATCAACGACAATAATAAATTTATAAAATTTCAACGTCAATTAGATGCTATTTAAATCCTTCAGCTTAGTGTTAGGAAATTAGTCTCACTCAAAGGAAAAAAACAGATAAAGGAACGACTCATCACTAAATTATTTTGATTTTGCCCACAGTTTTGATTAATTTCCCAGAATTATATTATCAGAAAACATCAGTGCAGAAACTATGCTGGAAAGAAGCGAAGTATTAAATTTGTTGAGCTCTTCAGCTGAGTAGTGATGCTAATGAACAGTGATAATCAGAAATTTTACCATATCAATTAAGTGAGAAGAAAGGCGAAGGGACAATGGGGTGGTCAATCAAAATCATTTGCATAGTTTGGCCAAATTAAAAAGTGACTGAGGGACAAAGACACGTGTAATTATCAATCAAGAACGTGCACATAAATTTGATTAACTAATTAATATATATATATATGGGGTTAATGTTAATCTTTGAAAAGGTCCTTATTGGTTCATAACATGGCAGAAACTCATTCAATAATCAGTTTATGCACTTGAAGACATCTCGGACCCTGTTCCAGTTGCCAATGCAAATAGTATTTCAGAATGTTGGCTAGAGTCAACCGCAGCTTATATTCAGTTAGCCGCAAGAAGTAATTGTGATTACTATTACCGCATATTCGAACACAGGAAATAGTCATTATCATATACATATTGGTCATCTGGATTCACAGAGATTTATGATAATGACCATAGTGGAGATGGAATGTTGTGATTCTTCAATTAGTTTGTTTAAACATATTGGGGTTGCTATTAGGATATTGAATCACAAAAAGTAAGTCTTATCAACATTATTTGGCTTATAGCTTTACATAATTCTATAATCAATAATGACAATGCCCATTATCATGATGCTTAATTAGTTTGGTCAAGATATTATTTTAATTTACTCATGGAATATTAATGGGATGGTCAAACCTATGAATTACTCTCATAAAGTCTGAGATTTGAGTTATCTGTGTGACCAACAAAACCATATAGTGATGACAGGTTAGTTGGGACTCCAGTTTTGAACTCGAACTTCGTGCCGAACCTTATATACACAAAAATTAGTGTTCTTTCAATTCTTGTCCGCCTCAAAAACTGGCTCATTGATCCTGAGTTTCGTACAAGTAGATGATTGATAAACCCCCTTCAATATTTTTACAAGTTCAATTAATATCTTCAATGTACTAATCTCATAAAAAAAAAAAAAAATTAATGCATTTAAGATCACTAGAAAGCACAGTGGTTAGAGAAAGACCATAGCTAATAATGGGAAGTTGAATATGATGTGAATGATTTATATTGGGGAAGGGATTATGATGAGACCGTTTGTTTCTCAACAACCGTACCCAACTTGTGAAGCAAACAGTAGTCGAACCTATGGGAGATCCTATGCTTCCAAGCCATCTTGACTCGGGAGATAATAAAAGTCCAACCTGAAAAGATAGACTTGATTGATGCAACTTAATTAATTAGTGGCCATATCAAAATGTACAATAGACACTCACCCAATCAAATTTTTACAATAGACACAGACCTACTAATTAATTTTCCATGTGTGGTCAACTTTAACATCATCTCACCATCTCAATTATCTCTCATTAGCTAACTCACTCTTCTCCAAGTCTCTGGCTAGTTTGAGTTGGAGATCTAAAGCAAAAGTTTGGTTTTTTGCTTGCACAATTTGATCAAAGCATTAAATATGAGCTACAACATTTTCATTTGGTTAAGATAGAAGTGGGGTCTTCGTCAATCATTCTGTGTTTTACTGGAAAAACATTTTGGCGTGAGGATATGTGAATTGAAGCTATATCTCTTACTAATGTTTTTGTAACGTATTAAGCTTTATCTTATGGTTTGGGTCATCTATTTAATCATAGGACCCCGGCCCCAATCCTGATGCATTTTGTAGCAAATTCCTGTAAAGCATATGACCCCTTCACGTCAATAGTATTAATTTAGCTTGTTCATTTCTTACAATTCAGAGATCGGAAAACTAATTTCCGAAGGAGACTCTAAAAGAGATTAGAAGTTTGTAACATTTTTGCTAAATTAGGTGATCCAAGTATGGAGTATAAATGTATATGCTGAAGCATTACATTTCCCCTTAATTTTAACTATTATTAGGTGAACTATAGAAAAACCCACCTTTGAGGAAGAAAGCCTAGTTATATGACATTACATGAATCTTATTCTAACTTAAGAGTATGTATGTCCAGATCTTACCAAATTATGAATATTTGGGATTCATATCTTCACAATAATTACAAAGAAAAAGATCAAATCGATAGAAAGAGAGGGGGCCATCAGGAGTTAACGGAAGCTGAACAACAACAACAACAATAATAATAATAATAATAATGTCATTTACAACTGTATGATAAAGCCATATATATGTTTACAACAAAAAGAATATTCCATCAAGATTTAACACTACAAAAACGAAATAATAAATAAATTAAGTAGCTAGCAGCAGGGTCCAACACCAAAGTAAACTAAAATTGAAACGTGTGGAGAGCAAACTGCAAAGCATGCAAAGTTGGCCATGCTTTTGTCGTCTTCATTCTTTGAGATACATGTAGAATTATATGGAGGGATAATAATAAAGTGAAGAGTACACTGGTTTTTGCTTTATTCTGTAAGCTACTACTTTCTCCTTCCACAATTTTTAATTTGATGAAAAGCACTTTGTGCAGCGAGGGAAGTGTAGACATAAAGCATCTCTCCCTTAAATGAATTGGGTGGTGGCAGGCCCGAATGCCCATCAATCAATCCAAAATGCCCACCACTTCAACTCTGTCTTTTAGCTCTATATAATTTATATTATGTGACAGTTGGGATTTTTCTGATGCCTTCAGCTTTTCGACTGTGGGTCCTAGTTGCAGATTTGCCTAAAATTTCTTTTTTTTCCCTTCTTTTTTTCTTTTTATTTTTTCCCATATTAGCACGACCATATTCACTTACCCCACCAATCATAACCTTTTTTTTTTTCTTTTTCTTTTGCTTTTGTTTGTGTGGCCTCTTAAGAGTGAGCTTCAGGCTTTTGTGTATTTGGATTTTTCTTTCATTATCAAGCAGTTGGCTAGCCCAATTTTAATCTATCTTTTTTGTTTAAGGATTCCAGCTGGAGGAACGAAAGAGAAGAACATACATTCAATACTGTTTATGTATGAATATGATCGAATTATCATCTTCTTTTAGGCTCTTGACAAATCATATTTATCTTACCAAAAGTTACTAATAGTATTACATGTTTCGAAATTCTTATATAAAAAGTGAACCATATAATTCATATACTTTAATAATATGGTTTCAAACAGTAACATTTAAGCTAAATCTATTAAAAAATGCTTTTCTTTTTTATTTTATCAGCCAACTATATTTAAGCACATTTTTTTTTTTTATGAACTTTGATTCATATTGAGGGAGGAACGGGAACCCCACCCAGCCTCCCATGAGCTGGGAAAAATAATGGGTTCACCACCATAGGTGGGGGTCGGGTGGTGGGTTTGGGATCTGAGACCCATTGTGGGTTCATTTATATTAGGTTAACTAAGCTGGCTGGAATTTGGTTTTACTTCCATGATGGATCCACTTTGCCAAACCCAACCCATTTTATCTTTGAATAGACTTCGGCCTTTTGTCCCCTTCACTTTTTATATTTCCCACCTTTTCATTCTCCAAACCCATCATAATTCTTTCAATTAGGAGAAACAATCAATTTTATCAACAAATTCTGTCCATTTCTGTAAGCTTACAAATTGGTGTGCGCATACATATCTAAACCCAAAAAACCTAATCGAACTTAGTGGTGTGGTTTCATTTTGAAAATTCTAACCAATCCATATGATATAATGTGTAATTTATAAAGCCAATGAACTATACAATTAGGATTTGTAATAACAGTTACACTAAAAAATTTGAATGAGCATAACACTAGAATAAGAGAGGCTATTTTGATGGAAAGTTTTGAAGGGATCAATTGCATGGAAGAAAGAAAAAAATTATAAAGGTAGGATGTGAAGGGCAGAAAAGGGTCTGGAGGCTAATTGTTTAGTACTGTAATGATGAAGAAGATGAGGGAATTTGATGTGGACCTAGCCCAGGTGATTTAGCACATGGAAGCATGTGATGCCTGCCTTCGCTACTAGCTATGGAGAAGACCCCCAGCCTATACATTTTGATGTTGATGTTTTCAAGAAAAATATAGCGACTTATCTTTTGATTTTGTTGAGATTGTGACAAGGGTGGCTCCTGATTAACCCAATTTTGTCAGGGATAACAATGGCCTAAATAGGCAATCCTTCTTCACCTATAAATGGGCCAA